TAGACATTGCATTTGCAATCAATATTTGTTTTTATTTGCGGTAAGCCCGTTAAATATTAAACTTTTGCATTTGCATGGAAATCGACCAATCAATATCGTATTTTATAATTAAAATTAGCTTGCCGTAGTGACCAACAATGATTATAACAAAATAGTTTATTGGTAAAACAAATTAGATAAACATAACCAGTATTTATGTACTTGTATAAAATGTAATTTCAAATGGACAAATCGTAACTTCATATAAAGCTTATGTATGTACAATAAATTATTATTATTATTATCAAAAAGATATAAAACGCATGAAGGAAATCGTTTGTATCGATATTATGTGAACACAAAATATTATTCATCCATGTTTAATTTCTTTCATACTTTCTTTTGTATAAGTAGATGTAAAGATTAAATGTAAATAAGATCATTCGTTATAATAATCATTAATTAATATAACATTCAACTCGTTTGTTGCCACGTAATTTTTTATAAACATTTTCGGCAATTTTCATAACATAAAAACCAGATAAAAATGAAACTAGAAAAGTATCGAGGAATATCCTCCTTCAATCGTGATCTGTTTCATCTGCATTAGAAGAAGATAAACTAGAAAAACTAGTACAAGTCAAAGTTAAGCAACAAAGATTCAGAAAACAGGCACACGATAAGTATAAGTAATTCTATCAGATAATAATGAAGGTCTTCAAATTCTGCTTGATCGTATTCACGAGGTACGAGAGGAAATGGGTATTAAAATAAACTTAAACAGAACCAAATTTTTAGTGTATACAAAATGACATATTTGGGAACTGTGATAACGGACCAACTAAATCCAGACATAGAAATAAAAGGTAGAATAGCAATCACTAAAACTATTTTTATGAAAATAAAGTCATTTCTCTGCAATACCCATCTCAAATTAGAATTAGAAGGCACATAATGGTTAAGTGCTATGTTTGGTCCTTACTTTTTTATAGTGCAGAAGTGTGGACGTTAAAAGAATCGATCTTAATCAAAATTAAAGCATTGGAAATGTGGGTTCATAGACGAATGCTAAAGATACCTTGGACAGCAAGGACAATTAATGAAGAAGTACAAAGGAGCGTCAACAAAGATAGAGAACTGCTAAAGACTGTTAAACATCGAAAAATGTCTTATCTGGGACATATAGTAAGGGGAAGTCGATATAAAATATTACAACTGATCCTTAAAGGCAAAATAGAGGGCCGTAGAGGTGTAGGAAGAAAACAAGTTTCTTGGTTAAAAAACATTCGTGAATGGACTCAGATACCAAATGCAGGACAATTATTCCATATTGCAGAAGATCGAGAAGCCTTCGCAATGGTGATCACCAACGTCGGATAATTCTGATATGACAAGTGAAGAAGAAGAAGACAGAACTTTTTAATTGATAAATACTTGAGAGCTGGAAAAAAGGATGAATTATCCTGATCCATAAAAAAGGGGATAAGGCAGACTGCAAACTACCATTTCAGTTACCAGCATTCTCAGTAGATTATATATACAGAAAAGTTATGAAAACCTTAGTCGAAAACGAATATGAACCACTTGAGCTGGAACAGGAAACAGGATTTCGAGATTAACGATCTTGCATTAACCACATCTACACTTTAATTCAATTAAATGAAAGAAGGATGGCTAGGGATATAAAATCGAGTTAGAATCTATGGAGAAGCTATGAGCATATTAACGTATGTATTAAAAACGGCGTAGGTAGGCGTGGCTAACGTTAATACCAATATGGCGGTGGGATCAGGGCCAGACTCAATAATATTAAAACTACTATACAAATATGACTAGTTGTTCAGAAGATTTAATCTTAATCTAAAAAAGTGCAATACATTTTTAATAAGCTATGATTTATTTATCCCGCGGTAAACACTAAAAACACGATATATAACACATAAAGATAAATTAGTACAGTCAAATACTATCAATTTTTCTCTGAAGTACGGACCATTACTTTGTTTACATATTTGTAACTACGTTGAGAACAAGAAACCATTATTATGCACTCTACAATATATTATTACAGTTTTTATAAAAGTATTATAAAATTAAAAATATTCGAAAAACAACAAATGTAAACAAACATATAGATACGATCTGTCAAAAGTGTCAAAACAATATTCTTAGCAATATGGCCGAAGTGAGATCGTTTTTAGTGACGTGATGCCCTCTCCATAGATTCTAACTCAATGGGATATACCAACTCATCTACTATTTGTGAATATAACGAATGCATGGCTGACGGAGAAATGTATGGAAGTTGAAACACTACACTACAACATGACGATTTCCATATGCACAAAAAAATTAGAGCGTACAGAATACCCGAAAACAAGGCAATAGAGGCATAATTGTAGACATTGAACCATTGAAGATAAATTACGAAGATGGAAAGAATATATGCAAGAACTATTCAAGGATGCAGCACGAGGTCCGACTGAAATAAATAATCTCTACGGCCCAGAAATAACAAACGACGAAGTAAATGTGGCCATTAATCGGATTAAAGATGGGAAATCACCAGGACCTGATGGGGTACATGGTGAAATTTTAAAGCTATTAGAGGCACACCAAATCACATCTTTTACAAAGCTATTCAACAACATCTACGAGATTGGTTACTTACCAAAAGACTGGCTACTATCAACAATCATTCCACTTCCTAAAAAAGCCAACGCTAGAAAATGTAAAGAACATAAATTAGTTAGTTTGATGAGCCATGTATTTAAAGTACTCCTTACTATCATTCACCCGTGCATATACACCAAATTAGAAGAACACCTGAGTGAAGTTCAATTTGGATTCCGAGCAGGACTAAGAACGAGGAAAGCACTTTTTAGTATGCAAGTTCTAATACAGAGAGCCAAGGACGTAAACTGCGATGTGTATGCATGTTTCATTGATTTCGAGAAGGCATTTGATAAAGTAATAAAAGTAATTACTGTATGGCCGTGAAAGCTGGACAATGGACTCAGAAATAGAAAAAGAATAGGTGCCTTTGAAATGTATATATAGGGTACAAAGGTATTCCATGGGTACAAAGAGTCACTAATATTAAACAAAAAGAATTACTAAGAATAATCAAAGAGAGGAAAATGCAATACTTGGGTCATGTGTTGAGAGGCGAAAGATATGAATTACTTCAAGTTATACTGGAAGGAAAAGTACAGGGCAAAAAATCAGTAGGAAGACGCCAGAACTCGTGGCTGAAAGACCTGAGGAGATGGTTCGATCGCTCATCCGCAGAAATCTTTCGCGCAGCAGTTTCCAAAACTACAATTGCCATTTGGATCGCCAACCTTCGAAAGGAGATGGCGCCATGAGAAGAAGATTTGATAAAGTCCCATATAATGTATCAGCCCCATACCCAAGGGAAACAATCCCACCCCAAGCGCAATCGTTAATCAGTTAGCCGGTATGTAACAAGTCAACATAGCAAGAAAATAAAAGAAACAAAATAAGGGGTAGTTAGCCTAGAAAAGAATAAGAATAATTATTATATGCTCCAAATAAAATAAAGAATAAAAATTTGACATAGTTTAACGAATATATTCCAAATTAAATAAAGAATAAACATTCGACATAGTTTAACGCGTATTACACAAGTTTCCGATATCAGGTCAGCTCCGAATGTTTAAAAATTTCGAAACCATAGACCTTCGTTGGAAAATAATACAACAAAGCGACAGACCAGCGATAAGAACTGAGCTGAGCTAGTAGGTCAAACCATCGCATGATCCATTTTAACACAGGACATAAAAACGAAGTAAATTGGTCAATGGGGCAGATGCTCGGCGATCTAGAGGATTGTTACTCGGCCCGCCGTCTGGGTGTGTTCAGCTTATTTAGCGCGGTATTATATCCGATGGGAACGGTAGTACAGTATAAGTACCGGATTTTTCGTCTCTCGGAAAATCGTGATAGCGTACAGTACTCTCAGCAGACTGTTCCTGAGTTCCAGTTGGACTGCAAAGGCGTATTCTTTAGCTAGAGCCTAAATACGCTAAGGTAACTAAAAATAAATACTAACCCAGGGGGAATACAAAATAATCGTAGATTGTCCACCCTTTATATTTCTTGCTAAAGTCTCTTCTCGTCTTCTTTCGCAAGTTTATCTTGTATATCTTTACAATTTATTTAATATATTGTAAGTTTGAAATTTGGTTTTTTTGTTCTTTCCCGGCCGTTTACAGGTAGAGACTAGAAGAGAACACACGTTTAGAGACTAGAAGAGAAAGCAGGCCAATAGACTCTAACTCTTTACAGGGCCTGGATGTTACACCCACATGGGAAACTAATCGATATCCTAAAACCATCAGGACTCGATGGTAAGGGTCTAAGACTGATCTCAAATTTATATCTCTAACAAAAAGCAACAGTACGATTAGAAAATGAACTGCCCGAGATCTTCACAGTCGAAAAAGGAGTTAGACAGGGTTGCATATTGTCACCGGCATTATTTAACATATACTTCCAGCGCAACCAACAGTTTGTTTTCTACGTCTTCAAAACTTCTGCCCTGTGCATCAATCGCTGTATTATCAGCATAAATAAACTACCTCGTATAAAAGTCATCTGGCAAGCCATTAGTATAAATATTAGAGAAAAGAGGAAGCTTGCTTCCGTGAGGTACTCCATTTCTTTGATTTATTTTTTCTATTTATTAATAATTTCTATTATTAGCATATTTTTTCTATTTTACCCTGGGTAATTGATTAAAGTAGGCAGTATGATCGTGTCTTAATATGTGGCATATATATTTAAGTTCTCTTTCCTAATTGTCGGTACCCACATTTATACAAATTATAATAGGAGCTTAATTAATTAAATTGTCTTGTATTGTAATTCAGCTGCACATGTGAGATTTATCTTAAGTTGAAGATAACAACAAATATTTAAAAAATGATTACAACTTTTATATCGATCGGAAGATAGTTAGCCCTTGAAGATAAGATAAGTACATTCAATATTTATGTCAAATTCTTAGTGAGGTAAAGCGTTTGAAAATACCCTTAACTATGGATATTGGGTGAGTCATTTAACAATAATAAAAATATATTAATATAAATAATGTTATTTTATTATTATAAAACTTACATCCAAAAAGTCTAGTTGTATTTTTTGAAATAGATTGATTTTTATATGTATTTTATTTACATAAAAAATAATATATATTTAATATTCAACTTTTAATCTAAAAGCACTAAAAGTATTACGAAATATGATTTTTATTCTGATTTAATGCAGATTCATATCCATTTCCATAGAAATATGATCAAAATAACATCTTTTAAACTCCAATTTTTTTTTCAATAAAACACTTTCAAAAAAGTGGAAAAATTTCGAAATATTTTAAAATCTTTTGACTATAACTTGTTCCTAAGGATCTTTGGCATTCAATTTAGCACGATTTCAAAAATTCAAAGACAAATTTTTCAATTTTTAATTTAACTAAACTACTACCGTGGTTCGGAAGGCACGTAAAGCCGTTGGTCCCGGCTACGTAAATGGTCTTTAAGTAATGTTAGGAGCGATTGCGCGACATGAAAACTCTAACGCTAGACCTTATCCACAAGCTCACACGAACTTACTTACCTTTTTTTAAACCATATCATAAACTCAATGCAATATTCGATAGCAATCTTCGATTTTATCGTTTTTAGAGATCAATTGACCATATAAAACAATAAAATTTCTTGAACGTCTTAGTTCCTCTTTTTCTTACAATCAGTATCTCCTGTGCTATTTGCTGATCAACCTGTGATCTCCTGTGCTATTTGGAATAATTCGACCGATTTCATTCCAAATCATTCATAAATGGTTCGGAAGCTAAGAAATTCTTCTACGTCCAAAGCTTCTTCGACCAACGATCTTTTCTTTCATTCTAAGCTGTAGGAATTCATATTTTATAACTATAAAGACCTGGCCAAGAAACTAAAGTTTTCTCTTCTTTATCTATCTGTCTAATCAGCCTTAAACGCCCACTCTTGGGCATAGGCCTCCCCTGTTAATCTCCATTGGTCTCTATTTTCGGCGATCTGCATCCAGTCCTTTCCTGCCGTTCTCTTAAGGTCGTCAGTCCATCTCATCTGTGGTCTTCCTCTTTTTCTTTTCTTTTCCCATGGTCTCCAGTGTAGAATTCGCTTATTCCATCTTTCATCTTTTTGCCGGAGAGTGTGACCGGCGAAGTTCCATTTAAGTTTTGCAACCTGTCTTGATACATCGTTCACCTTTGTTTTTTCTCTGATCCATGAGTTTCTTTTCCTGTCTTTAAGACCGATACCCAGCATCTGTCTTTCCATTGCTCTTTGTGTTTTGGATATCCTGTCGATGTTCTCCTTTGTGAAAGTCCATGTTTGTGAGCCATATGTGATAACTGGTAAAATGCACTGATTGAATACTTTCGTTCGCATATATTGAGGGAACTTTTTATTTTTTAGAATATATGATAGTTTACCAAATGAGGCCCATGCCAGTCTAGTTCTTCTTTTTATTTCTTCTGTTTGATTGTCCCTGTTCAGCTTTATTATCTGTCCTAGGTATATGTATTCTGCCACCTGCTCTAATTTATTCTGTTTGACTACTATTTCTAATTGGTCTTCTTGGTTTGTCATAGTCTTGGTTTTACTATAGTTTATCTCTAGATCTACCTCTGTTGTTTTTCTATCTAGTTCCTCAACCATCTTCTCTAACTCTTCCTTCTTATCTGTTATCAGGACTATATCGTCTGCATATCTCAAGTGGTTCAAGAGCTCTCCATTTATTCTTATTCCGTATGTATCCCATTCTAATTTTTTAAATATAGCTTCCATAGCCTGATTGAACAATTTTGGTTATATTGTGTCTCCCTGCCTGATTCCTCTTTGAAAACGTCGCTGTAGGCCCATGTTTCAAAAACCTCTTATTTTTTTAGAGTTTTCTTTATTTCGTGTCTAGCTTTTTATACCGTATAGGAATATAGAAAACACATAATACATAACCATTATAATTCTTAGAGTCATAGAAAGATACGATGCTGTCAATACTTTTTTCATTTTGGCGAACGCAGCTCGTGCTTGTTCAATGCATTTCAACGAATTTCTTCTGAATGTAGGTTAGTCTCATTGACAACAGTTTCAAGATATTTGTACAGAGTAACCCGCTCAATGACCTGTCTATTAAAAATAATTGTTCACAGTTGTTGTTATTATTTTTTAAACAATTATCAATTTTCGTGATATTGATATCTCAACCGTGTGTCATAGATACTTAATCAAAGAGCCTCTAGAGATCTCCCAAGTTGTTGGCACTCATAGCTGTATCGTAAGCATATCTGATATTGTTCACAAGAACTCCATTTATCGTTCTTCCAGATGACTCATTTTTAATGCTTCACCGATTGTGTATTAAGAGTATAAATTGAATATCATTGGCGACAGAATATATGCTTGTCGTACACCCTTCTGAATGCTTATTTTCTCTGACAGGAAGGAGCTATTCGAGTTTTATTTTAGCCGTTTGAGCCTAGTGTAACCTTAATGTTATTTGATCATTTTGATAATCAATGTTTTTTTTTTAATTTTTGCAACATTTTAAGTAGCTTCTCGTGACTAACATTTTTAAAGCCCTTCTTCTTCTTAGAGTGCCGTCTCCCTACGGAGGTTGGCAATCATAATGGCTATTTTTATTTTAGAACTTGCTGCTCTAAACAAATCAATCGATCTGCATTGATACCAATCACGTAGATTCTTTAACCATGAGTTCTGCCTTCGGCCAACAGATCTTCTTCCTTGAATCTTTCCCTGTATTATGAGTCTCAAAATTTCATATTTTGGTCCCTCATCACGTGGCCTAGGTATTCCAGTTTTCTGGTTTGTATAGTGGTGATTAGTTCTGTTTCTTTACCAACCCTCTCCAGTACTTCTTTATTTGTAATTCTATCAGTCCATGATATTTTCAATACTCTGCGGTATAACCAGAGTTCGAAGGCCTCGATTCTTTTTAAATTACATTTTTTTAATGTCCAAGTCTCAGCTCCATATAATAATATTGAAAATATATAACAGCGAATGGTACGTAGTCTGATCTCCAAATTTAGATTTTTGCACGTTAGGAGTGGCTTCATTCGTATAAATGCTGATCTGGCAATCTCTATTTGCCTGTTTATTTCTACAGTATGATCATTGGTTTCATTGATCAAAGTTCCCAAGTACTGATATTTTTCTACTTGTTCTATCACGTTACCATTGATTGTCAATAGGTGATGTATATTTTGTGGTCTTTTTGTAATTAGCATGTACTTCGTTTTTTTAGCGTTTATAGTAATTCCCATCTCAGCACTATTCATACTCAAGCTTTCGATAAGATGTTGTAGATCCTCTATACTCGTTGCTATGATCACAGTGTCGTCTGCATATCTTAAGTTGTTAATTAATTTTCCGTTAACAGTGACTCCCGCTTCGATATTATTGAGCGTGTTTTGGAAAATTTCTTCAGAATATAAGTTAAACAAAAGTGTTTTGTAAAACACATTCCTGTCTAACTCCTCTACAGATCCTCATTTCTCCTGAGTGTTGCCTATCAATTTGAACTATGACACTTTGGTTCCCATATAATGTTTCCACTATATTTATGATTTTACTGTCAATGCGCTTGTTCATAAGTATTGATATTAGTTTTTCATGTCTTACTTTATCGAAAGGTTTTTCGTAGTCAACGAAGCACAAGTATAGATCAACATTTACATCCCGACATCGCTGAATCAATACGTTGATGGCAAATAGTCCTTCTCGAGTACCCATTCCATTTCGGAACCTGAACTGCGTCTCGCTAATATCCTCCTCTAGCCTTTCGTTTATTCTTTTATGTATTATTTTTAACAGAACTTTTAACGTATGACTCATGAGGCTCAGTGTTTGATAATCAGAGCACTCTTTTGCTCCTCGTTTTTTAGGGATGGTTATAAATGCTAACTTTATCCACTCTTCTGGTATTATTCCCTTATCGTACATCGTGTTGAATAAATCTCCCAATACTTCCAAGTTATCCTCTTCCACTAGTTTTAACAGTTCTACTGGTATTTCATCCAATCCAGCTGCCTTATTGTCTTTACAGTTTTTGATAGCATATTTGATTTCATCTATCGTGATCTTCTGTCTCTCTAAAGGATTTAACTCTTATATTTTCTGCATTTCACCTCTTTCAGCTTGGAAAAGTTCTCTAACGTACTCCCCTAGGATTAAAGTCTTAAGTATAGTTAATGAAGTAGACATACATATCTTGGTTGACATCTATGCATCTTTGTGCCAGTGCATTAAAGGCAAACAGAGCTTCTCTGGTTGCGCGATTCGAATTGTGTATGTGATATGTTTTCTTTTATTTCTTCTTTCTTGTACGTAGGCTTTAAATCCTGTTTTTTTCTTCAATATGAGCCTCCTAAATTGTTTAAGTTATTGAACCATCTTTTTCTTGGTCTACCAATTCCTTTTCATCCATTTGGTGACTTATCTCGTGCTAGTCGTACTATCCTATCTTCTGCCATTCTACTAATGTGTTCATTCCACTCCTGTTTCCGTTTTGTCACCCATCCATTTATGTGTTTTATATTGCATGCTTTTCTTATGTTTCCGCTTCTCTCCGTATCCAACAAACATTTCCCTAATATTCGTAGGAGTATTTTCATCTCTGTTGTTTCTAGTAGTTTCTAGTAGATTTGTCAAGTCTTGTCTCCTCCGTGTATGTTAATATCAGTCTAATTGCTGCTTTATAGATTCTTTCTCTTTCTCACCAAGTCTGACTCCACTTTGTATTGATATACACTGTGTTAGTTTTCCATTTATCTTTGAATCTCTTCGATTATGCCTTTATGTCAGAAGACTTTTTCTGCGGCCTTACGAATGTATTAAGATACAATATAAAAAATAATACTATTTTAAATGATTTGTCAATTAATGTAAAACAAATTAATTTTATCCTCAGTGCATTTTCAAGTTTATTGAAAACGTATATTACGGATAAACCAATTAATCTAATTGAGAATTTTTTTAATAA